GCGCCCTCACGAAGCTGGGGCGAGTCGCTAGTAGTAAATAAACTTACGCGAGCTCTATAATCGCTGACGTAACTGATGTACACAGTTTATTGTGTATTTAAAAAATCCCATTGGTATGCGTTACTAGGATTCGAAGTAGTGATCCCTTAGAGTGTTACTCGCATTTGTATAAAATAAACGTTTGATATCGCCCGACTTTAAAACTTAAGTCGATACGGACAACCGCTCAGTACACACGTTAAACCAGTTCATCGCAAAATTCAAATCACAAAAATTATGGCAAAGATATAACCATCATATACACTGCTTATTGACTACCTTACTGATTTAATAACACTTTGTTATTTATTTAGATCAAAACATTATATTAATACACATTTTACACTACGTTCTCTAGTCCCAAACTAAACAACTATAGGTACTGATAAAAATAACTTAAAATAATTTTCTTTCGGAAATAAATACATATTATAAATTACAGCCAGACACTGAAATCATCTCGTAAATTTTTTTATCAATGTTCGTCACACAATATTTTCCAGTAGTGGGGATCGAACCCATAATATATAGATACGTAGATTCGGGGGTGAAAAATCGATCTAGCTAGGTTTGATTTTTAGAAAATGTGTTTTTATCCCTGTTTTCAGGGGATGAAAAATATCATTCAATTATGACAGTAAATTTCGCCGGAAAATAAAATGTTATAATAGCTCGGTCGGTAATTGGGCGGCCCCAAAACAGACGGCCGTGGTTCGTATCACGATCATTTACACACTTATTTTTTTTACTTTTTTTTCTATACCAGATCATTTTCTTTATTTTTTATTTTTTTTATTTCCAAAATTCATAATTTACCAAAAAAAACCGATCAAAGCTCAGTCCTCCAGGTACTAAAAACAATGAAAAGATCTGTATTATATCTGTTTATTACTCAGGTTCCTATTTTAAATCGTCACTGCCAATTTATTTTTACTTATAAACATATTCCCGTTCGACTTTAAATAGTTCCATTTCTTAAACCATAAGCGAAGTGAAATTGCCCTTGGGGCTCACGAAATTATTTGTCCTAATAAAACGGCCCCGTTATTTTCACGTATACATTTCCCTGAACTTTTATCCCGCATTAAGCTAAATAGCTTTAAACAGTTTGAACGAGTTCGGGAAAAAAATCGCTTTGGAACCGCCACAGCATATAGCTAAGGCTGCGAGTAAACGAACACTAAAATATAGAAACGTTCTCTGTGCAAATTTTCTAGTTCATGTTTCAGCGAGGAATCTTCCTCAAATCCTCATTGATAATATCTAGGCTGCATGAAGAGTACGCCTGTGCTTTTATTTGAACGGAGTAAAAACGAAATTAGCACTTCCTGTGCGTTCACTACAATTTGTTTGCGCTTTCGTCTATTTTCAACTATGACTTGGTTCACCTTTCAATTGAATTCATTAATGAGTAATTAAAGTAAAAGTATAATTACAGTAGCAACACCTTATGTACTTTTATTTGGTACATGCGTCGTTACAGGAAGCTTGCGACATAATCTTTAAAGGGAATTAATTAATACCAGTGGACTGTAATTTCTGTGAATAATTTAGGTGTTATTAAAAAAAACGATTTCAAATTTCCGAGTACGTTAATTATACTATTTGTGACGTCAAATATGATAGATTCCAATCGAGGCTAAACCGTTGCGGGCGGATTGATTATTAATTAATATGCCCAAACTGGCCTCCATCACCGAATCGGCTACACGATAATATTGATTATTGGCAGTGGAACAGTCGACGATGCCATGGGGCATTCGTGGAGCGACGGCGGAATGACAAGGGACTTTTCGACAAGGGACCCCGAACAATGGTATACACGGGACCCGGTTCAAATAACTCAACGCGGCATGCGAAGACGGTTAGGGGCAATCTATTTGATTATATTTCCACGTGCACCGCGTCCGCGTACAGCCGGGCCAATTTATAGGGTACTAGCGACCCGCCCCGGCATTGCACGGGTGCAATGTATACATATGAACCTTCCTCTTGAATCACTCTATCTAGTAAAAAAACTCGAATCAAGATCCGTTGAGTAGTTTTAAATATCTAAGCATACGTAGGGAAAGACAGACAGCGGGACGACTTTGTTTTATACTATGTAGTGATTACGTTTGCTACGCAACTAAACGATCGGTTTCGCTGCCGCGGTCTGTGGAAGCAAGAGTACTTGTTCCGCACCCGACGGTCACGGCGGCCGCGGAAGCCGATTAGGAACGGGCTGTGCGAGCGCATTTGAAAAAGTTACGAGCCACCAGAACGCTTGCTTGGGTTGCACAGCGAAAGCCAACAACCAATATAACAATACGGCAGGTTTAGTATTAACGGATTGAGATACACAAAAAACGGGAAGACGCATCGCGAAATGTCTCGAAACAATGTTTAGACAAAGGCCGGGTGAGTGAGCGGGAGGCAGTACCACTGATTACGGCGGCCTTTCTCGCCACCTAAAGACTGAAAAGAGCTGACACGGTTCCGTTTGCACCGCACTCCTATTTTTCATTTCGCCGTTATTAAGGCAAAAGGTGAACAGTGAACTCTGCTCCTTGTTAACAATATTCGGCGGGCATCGACAGTTCTCCGAACGTGTTCTTTGTGCGTAGACATCTGAAACTCTACGGCATAAGCTCCTATCAGATGGTTCGTTTCAAGGAATCGATAAGACGAAGAGCTTAAGAACATACGAGTATTATATTACGGTACAGGTAAAAACTTACAAAATCATAACTGCATCTAGGCGCTTGTAAATGTATTGTGTATCTGCTGGTATATCAAGCTTAAAATCGACTCTTAATAAGTGAAGTTTTTAATGCAGTACCCAATTTATTATTACTTGTTTTTAAGTCCCAACACTATTTGTAGCAGTCATGCTAATAAGATTTCCATAAACATACATTCAATGAAGGTGCTTACACAAAGCTAACGCTCCGTTGAATTGAATGGGAATGGGGGTTTGCCGTGCACCATGGTTCAAAGTAACTTTTTGTTTGTTTAAAGACTGAAATTGAGCTTTTTCTCAGTTGGAATCTTTATATATATAAATAAAATCTGAAGTCATCTTTAAAATTTTCTCCAGCCGTATATCAGGCTGTAAGATTGTTGAAACACGTGAGATATTTATAATAAGTGCTGTTTTGTGGCGGCAGGCGCGGGCGGTTACGTTCGGCCGACCGAGGCGAAAGCCAGATGTGTGAATTTCAAGGGCTACCGATTGAAAATAAATACTTTTAGTATCATACATCCGTCGTAATTATCTCATATTTTTATTTAGTTCAACAAACATGCAGTGGCTCCGGACCGTTTTATAGTGTACAAATTTTTCTTCAGTAAAACATTTATTATTTAGGTTAGATCAAAGATGATATTATACGATGAGAATTCAATGGCATATTTGCTGTCGCAGGCGCTACAATCCAATTCTGACGGAGTTCTTTTTAGTAGCTTTTATATGTACATGTTCGACTTGCACTAATTGTCTTATTGACTATATATACTTACGAACTAATATATAATTTACGAACGATTGCGAACATGCGACATTTTTAAAGATTTCGGCTTACACGTGATGAAAATTCCCTTGTTACTATGTCACGTCTTTTACTTGCTTTAAGAACTCTTCCCTATTTCATCTCGGAAAATGCATCGACGTGAACATATATCCGAACTTGTTAGCCAGGGCACAAACAAACACGGCATCCATACATTTCCTGCGCTGAGGACATTAGTCGACAGAAATTGCTTATGCATGTGTTGCGGACACTTGTAAAAAGATGGTCGATTGTAATGTTAATACATTCATACAAAACATTACGTGAACATGTTGATTTATTGAATCGCGGTTTTTAGGGAGAGGTCTCGCAGAGTAAACCTATTTTGCTTTTCGGCCTTTTTTAAAACAAATTATCCTTTATAAATTTTTGTGTCCAAAGTCCAGTGACAAACTTATTACATGTCACGTAATATGATAATACACCGTCAGGCCTTAATTTAGCTTATAAATTTTAATAAAATACATTCGAGAACTTTAATAAGGTTTTCTATACTGCAAATGAAGTAGACGGTACTTGGGAACACATCGGGCTGTTCCCGTCACGACGAATTTGTTGTTTTTCAAATACTTTTTTTTGTTTTTTAAAGTAAGCGACCTCGGTGCTTCGTTGTAGGAATCTAATACGACGTAGCTTACTGACGTCAAATGCATTTTCCATGTAGCATTGTCGCACGGAAAATGTAATGTCGTGCGCCGATTCTCTGTTAAAAACGCAATAACTTTTAATTATTATCACAATGTAAAACGGGTTATTTTACTGAATAATCGAACCGTTACAACTGTTGCAAACTGAGAATAATAAAGTTGGAAAAAAACGTGAACCAATATTGGTAACAGTTTCGGCTATCACAAATAACTTTCCCCATTAAGTTCCACTTAGTCGGAATAGTTTATATCAGCCACGAGCCTAAAAAACGCGTGTTACAATTTTTTTTTGCCACGGTTATATTAAAACACGATACAAGCTCCAATAAATTGACTACAAACAGTTATTAACAAAGGCTTAAAATTAATAATTCAAAAACTGACGGTAGCCCGGGTTAACTATGACAATCAGACGTTTAACACCTCAGTCTGTCCCGTTGAACGCTGTAAAGGGTTCGAAAATTAAAATTAAAATAAACGCGATAAATCGAAAATTAGTTTCGTAATCGCGTAAATACAAGAAATTATTAAACAAAGGCTTGTTGAAAATATACTGTCTTTTTAAAATAAAATTGCGAACGTTCAAATCGAATCGAAATCAATTGTAATAGATGATCCGTAGACCGTGCGTCGAATGTTTTTATCTATCGGTATCCTAATTGATATAAGAAGGGAAACTCGCCATAAGGATTGGGGCTGTGTGGAGATCATCGACGATCGTTCGAACATCGATACTGAGATTTGCACTTCGCATTCACGACAGCTTTCGAAGCAGACGGTCGGTTGTTCCAACACCATAGATGAGAACGTTTAGTATAATAAAATGAGTGTTATCATGGCGAAGAGGAGCACCCTGCTGCTGCTAATAGCTGCCCAGTGCGTTGTCCACCTGCACGCGCAGTACTTCCGACGTAAGTATAACTGACGCTTTGTAACTGATTCTTTCTGTATCAGAGAAGCTGTTGGAGACACGGCCCAAGTTTGTTCTAGGCCGGTGAACAGATCCCATCTGCCGTTTTAACCGCTTGCAGACTATCTCTGCCCGTCCCCTTCGCTTTTTTAGTTTTGCCCATAGAGGTCGAGAGTGGCAGCTGATACGTGACAAAGCTATTACTAAGTTTATAAAACAACATGCAACTTATACACTATCCATAACCGCCTGCCCAGTCAGGTTTAAAAGACGTGCCGGCTTGTATTTTGTTGCCACAATTGAATGTGTCAATGCCATAGCCGCACAAGTAATAAAGCAACACGATGTATGGTGCATTTGACACGAGAGCCTTTTAAAACGTCATCTGTGATGTCGCCATAGCTCTGATCAAATTACCTCAATGGTCTATTCGGCCCTGAGTGCCATTCCAGAAAAGTGGAGGCTTACTTTATTAGTATTACGGTCAGGTTGGGGCCAATCGAACAATATTCCAATTGTTCGATTGGCTGGAATAAGAAACTGCACATTTTAGTTGACGTATGTACACTTTCTCTGAAGACACAGGTCTATCCATTACATAGTTATAACATATACAGTCGTCTTAACTTTCGAATGAATCTCAACATTCCTTACTTCTAGCTGTAATACGGATAACCATCAGTTTTAGATAGCCAAGTGGCAAGTCTTCGTTAAAAATTTGGAATTCGATAAGAGATCAAGGTATAAATACCGATGTACAAAAATTTCCTGCCAGTGCATTTAGAAAACGGCAAGGAATTTGGTTAATGAGCAAAATTACGTGGCGTACCTATTTGTATGTTAGGACCGCCGGCTGTGGATAAAACCAAATTTACTGGCATTTCGCCAAAAACTGAAAGATGGGCCCCCGAATACCTCACTCATGGGAAGGAATGAAACAGTAGGCAAATATTCATTGACTTAAAGCCAATCTTTTGCGTGGCCGTGGTATTCTCCGGTCCAGCAGATCTTTTCAATTAGCAAAGTTAGTATGTCAAGTCTCAAATGAATTAATTGAAACACCTTAGTACATGTTAGAGACTGCGACGTTGAGTAGTTTCTTGTATTTAATCCTTTTAAAGCATGTGTTATTTAAACCTGACTACTATCACTCTTAATAGTGAGTGGCCATGTATCCATAAGTGGTCATGGTACTTGTACTTTACTCTCTCTCTAATATAGATTAATCAGTTTAAATCAACTGTGCTTTCTTAGTTCTGTTTAGTCCTTTTGCGTTAAAACTGAATAAATACTTCGCATGACATGTATAAATTTTGAGTGATTGTCATCAACTTAATTACTTGAGGCAGTGATCGGTTCTAAGTTCTCCCGCTAGCAATTGCGTGTACCAGTTATCTATTGTTGTATTTATTACGTACAAGTCATAGAATACTGACAGGATGACAGCCTCGTATTTCTTACGTACAAGTCATTGGATACTGACAGGATGACAGCCTCAACAACTATAAGGTTTGGTTAAACGTGGATAAAGTAGGTTATACGTCGGATCGTGATAGCCACCACTGACCTTTAAAGTTAAAGGACTACTTCTCATGAAAGTAGTTATTTCATATAGTTTATTAGGCCACTTATTCAGGCGAACTGCTGATAAACTATAAATATCCCAAATAACCCACACACGCGCTCAAGCGAAATTTAAATGGAATATAAGTACTGTAAATAATTTTCCGGTAGCCTTAATGCGTCCACCATCAATTTGCTCTCATCGTCGTGGTTTTCATTGAGTACGTTGACGGAAACAGAAAGCATATTTCTTTTTATACAGACTGTGACCGGTCGAAAATTTGTATTTAAAACATATGATATGAAAATTAACAAATAAATATCTAAAAGACATGGTACAAATTTAACTGTCTAAGCATAGATGTTTACGTCCGAAATTCACTGTCCACGTAAGATGGAAAGATGGTTCAACGTTTCTATTTAGTTTCACATTCCTAAGTCTATAAGAAAAAGTTCCACATTGAATCCATATTGGTGTAGCCACAAACGGGTAGTTAACAATTTTAATATACTCGCGATGATGCCGTTTTTTTCGTTCGTTTTTTTTAGCAAGTAAGCACACGTGTTTTTTATGTCGTGAGAATCCAAGTCATCTGTTTCCGTTGACTTTAAATAATGATAATGGTCAATGTCAGTCGGTTCCAATTTGTTTAGCTATAAACTCGACTGTTGTCTCTCAGCCATCTTATTATTAAGTTTTGTAACTAAATAAAACAATTTAAATTGATGACTCCGTAGCGCAGTTGTCAAGGGTTCGGTTCCCACATGGGACAAGTAGTACCCACAGATAATTGTTTCGGATGTCGGTTTTTGCCTCTTACATTTTTCTGGACAGATAATCATGATCTAAACTATCCAAAACAAAATATCATTTACATTGTCGTAACGCTAACTGAACACTTACGCGTTAAGCAATAAAACAAAATATATGTTTAACTCCGTATGATAAACTGGACATAGATTTCAAACATTTTTATTTACGATAACCCCAGCGACCTAAGGTTTCCACAGTAAATGGATAGAGGTGACTCGTATTTGCACTTACTTCAACTGCCTCTGCTTCCGCCTCGGCCCTGACCGAAGTATCCCGTAACTGAAAGGCAGCCAAGTGTCTGCCTACATAAGTAGCATCCCAAACGCCTGCCTCTCTCCCAAGGGACCAAATTCGAGTCATCGGGTCTCTTGTCATCATGGAAAATTTGCCACAAGTCTCCAAAATATAAGGAGTGTTGACGGAAATACGAGACCTATGGATGATGTTCTTCAGGGAACCGTGGCAGGAATACCGGCACTTTTTGACTAAAAAGTCCGTAAAGACCATTTATCAAAATTGACCACACAAAGGCATTAGTCTCGTTTACAGACCGTTGGTTCCAGACGCCAGTTACTCGCCCTGTATATTAATATTATTATTAAAATAATATCACGTAAAGCAAAGGAAATCAGACTGAACTTATGTCCTGTCCATTTCGACCAAATAGTGAGCACCTGCACGAATTTGATTGTAGAACACTGATTGAATTTGCCGAATCACACTCAGAATTTGTTAGCGCTCCAAAGCTCTGGTAAATTAATACCCCTTTTACTGTCCATGATAATATTTAAGTGTAAATGAAATGACCCAACATAGTTTCGGGACTACCATGTCAAAAGTACAAAAGCTTATGACATGTCTATCTATTCCGATTTTTCAACGAAATATTCGTTTTAATTAAGTTCACTTTGTTTTTCTCACTTTCCACTTTCGTGACCCAATGTCCTGTTTATGCATTCTAGCGTCATGTTTAATTTGGAATGTATTAGTTTAACATATCAAACTGTATCCAGTGTCTTCATAAATGCAATATTTCAACTAGTGATTACAGTGCTTAGTAATATTGCAGTTTCACGCCTCGCTGAAAAGAGAGCTCTCGGTTCAGCCAGCTCTGATCCTCACTGGCTCTGTGGCCCTAGAGGCGGGGCGCAATCAGGCGCAGCGGACGCGCCAGTCTCATAGCAAAACATTATAATTGTTTCTTCTCCGCCGAACTCGTCCCGACCCCGCCGCACGCGGGGCGACGCTCGTAAATTTCCCTATAAACCGCTATTGCTGGTTTTTTTTTAAACAATCATCGCTTAATTCAGTTTCTTGCACCCTTTTATGGTTCAACTCATATTTGCGTCGGTGTGAAATGTGAAGTTGTTTCTGCGATTTCATGTTCCACCCAATGTAGGGTTCGTCTCAAATACGATGCAAGCTTTAGTGAACGCAAGATAAGCTGCTAACAATTACTACTTTGAATAAGGTAATAGCAAGGATAGTATTTGACATGGGGCATTATAATTTTCGATTAATAAAGACAATGTTCATGGATGTCATCGTATTTTCAAAAAGAAATATTAATTGAAATAAAAATAATATTAAAATATTTCTTGCAATAGGAGATTAGTTCTGTAACGTTCTGTAATGTTATAAATGTCCTTGTCACAAAATTTAATAAGCTTATGTATTGTTTGTTTAAATCTTAACTTAAAGATTAAACTATTCCGACTTAAAAATTAAAAATAATAAACCGAACGAAACAATTCACAAAGAGTTTACTGGACATACATTAATACCGTTAACGAATTACCATGCAAATGAATACATTATGTATAGTTTGCATAACTTTTTATAATTTAGCGGCTCATAAATGAGGACGAAGTGCTCTGGCCGAGTCTTTTATTTAGCAACAAGAAACTGCCTGGTCACGAGGTATTTGATCTGACGAGAAGGCGCTCTTAAATATTCATAGGCCCCGGCGACACACTCAATAGTTACTACAAAGGGGCTGATTTTTCAATAATTCCACCGTTAAGGAGCCAACGCCCCCGCCTGGGTGACGCGTACCTCAAAGTCGATGCATAATTATAATTTGACGTAACGCATATCCCTCGATAGCTTGTTAGGAGGTGTAAGTCGCGGAGCGATACGATTTGGCCAACTTGGGTCCGATTACGTCCACAGTAAATTGCAATAATCCACTCATATGTCCATGTGGTAGGGCCTGTGCTTGTGGTAGGGCCAAGCGGCAGTGTTTGCTGTTGCACAGAAGGGCAGTTCCGTCCGGGTAAGGATCTCGACCTCGCAGAAGACCGCCGTGAAGTGGAAGTGTTAAACTTCTGCGTTTCGTCTGGTGACAGAGGTAGCCGGGGCCCACTTTATGATAAGGTGGAAGCGCACCTACGGTTGTTGCAAATTTTCGGCGGTTATCGCTTAACATGAGGCGTACCGCCAGCTATAATGCCTCCTACTAATATAAAAAAATGTAATATATAGCGCGTCGTTACACACGACAATAAATTAACACACGTCTAACGCTACTTGCCAATAATCATAAAAAATATAAAACGTTAAAAAATCCATAATTAAAAAAATATATTTTTCAAACAAACTAATTAAATAAAAATTTGTAACAT